GATAGGGTAGAATATCTGTCTTTAAGTTTCATAAGTTATTTTTCTACTAATAAAAACATTTATAAGCAAAAAATCTTTTTTTTTAAATATTTATTTCATAAAGACAGTTTTAACATTTAATTCCATAATGTACACGCCATACATATTTATAATGTACGATGTATGATAAATATCGTTAAAATATTCACTCATTCATTAAAGCGTATTTGTGTATATTGATCAAAAACTATTCTACTGCACACTACCGTGTATGATTGGTTGGTGTGTGTGTGACAGGTCGATTCGTAAACTGGAGTATTCTCCACCGCCCTTTTATACCATCCGACTTGCGTATACATACCACAATCGTTATATACCTATGTATACTAACGGGGAGTTTATTTTATGATATATGTCAGACGCACAACTAGTGGAGTGGGTGTACCTATGCTTTCTAATCTCCCTCTCTTTCTCTTTATATTATATATGTGTATATTGGGTAGTACTTGGAAAATCTGATATTATTTTCTTCAATATTTACTATATATTATTATAAATTAATAATACATAAACGATTCGCAATAAAGCATATAATAATATTAGACTGATAGTGATATCCATTGCTCACAAGAATATTTCAAATATCGATATATAGGTCGATAAAATGTATAATATTTTATAATATTCAAGTCCTTGAAAAACAAACTATGTTAAAATATGAGCTTTATTATACATATTATATTGTATTACATATAACAATATGAGTAAAACTACTAAAATTTAACTTGTATTAAAACTTTCTATCGTAAATTGACATGGTTTTATACTTAAATGATGATCTAAAAAGCAAATAATAAATATATATAATCTATATAATTTATACATCCAAAGCATGATTATTATATAGGCTAATTAATCTGATTCTCAAACTTGATCTTTTATAGATAATATAATAGGTGTAAACAATTTGGAAATTGATTAATTTGAAGATCGATCGTCGAAGGTGAAGTTGATGCTCCAAGAATACTTAAATTATTTAGTACTATAGCTCCTAACAATATCTGATTTAAGGTCTTGCTTTATCCCCTATAATACTAATACTAACTTTTCTATGAATACCTACTAAACTATCAAAAATAATGCTAATATAATAGGCTATGTTATAATATCAATATTTTCATTATACAAAGCCATAAAGTATATAGTATTTTGGATTAATTATAAATATTAATCTCTTGTATTACATATAATATATTTTTTCCTTTAAAACTGAGGATGTATTTATACATTATACTTACCTATAACTATTATATTATATTATTTTAAATTCTGAGCAAATAAAAACGAGAATTTTTTTTAGTTTGACAAAACTGATTTTGTTTTTTTATATACTTCAAAAACGAATAACAGTTAATACTTGAAATTATTATCAGATGCAATTTCTATATAAATTGTTTTCTTTCAAATTATTTAATGACATTTAAAATTTAAAATTTATTTAGTTTTTTTTTTTTTTTTTGTAATTGTCGATAAAAAATTATTCGCTGGCCAAAAATACTTGAAAATGTATTACAAATTGTAATACATTCAAATCATATGTTTTTCAAAATCCAACTCAAACCTAAAAAATACAATAGCTTTTTAATAAGCAATTAAATTTGGGATTTTAATAAGATTCGTGAATTCTAAAAATTTTTAAGTTATTTTGTAGTTAGAATTTTATAAAATATATTTTTTTTATTTAAGATTTGAAAATTGAATATAAGATTTTCCATAAGTTTGCAACTTATATTGAAAAAAATTTCTACCGAAAAGCCTAATTTGGTAGTGATTGTTTGAAGTTCAAATTTTTTTATATTTTTACGTATTCAACTCCGTAAAATAGCGTTCTTCTTAAAAGATTTTTGATATTTTTTTCTAATTCAAAAACAAAAACAAATAATTGTAAATACTTAAAATGTTTATCAAATCTTTATGTAATCTATTTCTATAAGTCTTAAAATATTACAGCTACAACTTAAAAACTTTATACTGGGTCTCATATAAATTACACTAACTGGTGTGTAAAAATAATAAACATAATTTTTTTTTATAGATATTTTAAGTTCAAATTTTAACGGAAATGCATTTAAACTATTGCGAAACGTTATTCATTGTTTTTTTATAATTAGAAAACACTATTTATAGGGACATGGAACTTTTAAATGTATAATTATATTTTATATAGATAATTAAAATTTTAAATCTAATGTAATCGGAAAAAATAAATTCAACTTAACCTAATACGAATAGTAAAATAAATTATTTTAATAGTAATATTAAAAATATAACACAAAATAAACTTAATGATATTATAAACCGTTTACCATCCAGAATAAATTTTGTGTACAACGGTATGTTTATAGGTATCATTACATTCCATTTAAATACATCCAATACAGTAACTTAAAGCTATTGTATAACAAAATGTTACTAGCCAATTTTTTATACTATACATTTTGCTTGTTCAATTGTAAAGATTTAAAACGTGTTAAATTTACTAACAATAATAATTTATTAACAATTATTGTGATACATTTTACAAATAATTTACACATTTAATATTTATGAACTATGATCTTTATTCATGTGAACATGAATGTCCGCGTTATGGTCATTGCTAGATATAGGATATTTCATATTTTGTATTCTTGGTGTTATCTATTATAGCTATTATGATTTAGACTGTTAAAATTTAAGTTAAAAAATGTATTTTCAATTAGAACAATTTATACATAATCCCTCTACTTTAAATTTTTTCGAAACACTTTTTTTCAAAAATATTGCTTGATTTAATATGATTTTAAATTATAATTGATACACCTGTAAGTATTTGAAAATTTAGGAAAGAATATTTCGATACCTACATTATTACCTAACGTAAAGATAAAACGATATACACAATCAATCAATCAGCTGAATAAATCAGTATATCGATAATATCGATAATATTGATAACATATAGATCTCTGGTAGATGTACATTAATGACAGATTAATACCAAACGGGAAAATACGAAATTATTTTTATCCTAATGATACTAGACAACTGACAAAACACTTGGTTATACTGAGTATAAGTGTTTATTAAAATAAAATATTTAATACAATACATTTTACTTTATCAATAACCTGGTATATATGTTGCCTATACATACAGAGCAAACGATAAAACTAGGTACCTTCATCACACGTGCGATATACGAGTATGTAGCAGATAAAATGATTATTACTATACATTTTTTAAAGTAAAAAAATAAATAGTTATATTCATATGGTGAGATATGTAGGATTTTATACGTGTCAGGGATATATAATAAATACCAACTGATCTTGCACGACGTTGTCCGTGGATTTACTCTTTTTAAATTCTGTTAAAGGTAAACTATACAGATTTTTTACACAGTTATGTCGGATTGTTTTGACCAAATATAAAATCGTATATCCAATTATAATAACTATTTTATTTGCTATAACTAATTACAATCTTACATAAAAAAAAAAAATATATTTGTTTTTCATGGAACAACAAATCTTTATGCAAAATTTTAAATTTTGGCTTTAAGGTGCATATCCTCGGTTATAAAACTACATATTTTATAAAATTTCAGAACTATTAGTGTGATAGAATAGGACAACAATTATGTTTAAGAAATAATTGTGTAAAATTGTACCGTAAATAGTTTTGAAGATAGATTTTTGTGGATAATCAAAATGATTTTAGTCAAAATATTTTTTAGTTGTGTGACAACATTAAAAAAAATATACTTCTATTCAGGTAATATACCTACTGTACTTCTATTGAATAATTTGTTGAACTGAATATATGCTATTAGTCTTATGGATCATAAAACATTAAAATGTAATAACAATTCGTAAATCACAGAATGAATATATTACTTATGTTTATAGTCATTATTTATTACTACGAATACATGCAGTGAATAACACAATTTGTATACTCCGTGTAGAAATGTTTTAAAAGTATTTCTTGTTATCTTTTTTTTAACTTTGTCATAATTATTATTTATCACTCAATTTATGATATTGAATGCCATTTACTCAAAAGCGGATATTTGATTGAATTTTAGGGGAGAGGGCTTAAATCTTTATTTGTATTGTTGCAAAATAGGTATTTATTTAATACTTTGAAAATGTTTAATAATTTTGTAGGGCTTTCGATTTTTGGAGGGCTAAGCCTTCCAATCTTCACCTATGCAATTATTATTGACGTCATAAAAATTTTATTCTTTGCTAAGTTGTCAGAAACCTTGATGTACATATATCAATAATATGACTTTAAAATAGTTACTACAGTATTATACAAGTGCGCTTATACTCGATTAAATTTTCAAATAATCCGATTATATAATATTATAATAACTATCATGAATTCACTAAAATAATCAGAATTTGAAATGAATCTTATCCTTCAAAAGATCTTCACCTCAACAAATATTGGAAAATTATTTTTATTTTTCAATGGTAAAATAAATGGTAGATTGGCAGATAATTTATTGTATTTCTTATATAACTTTAATAAATTATGCCATTGATTATTTGTAACATAAAATTAATAAATGAACCATTACAATTTTTTTTCTTTTTGTACGTGTCTAATTATGTCTGTATAACGATTAAACCTATATTTTTTTAACATTATTTGAATAAAATAAACATTAAAATCTGCAATTACAAGTTTCAAAAAGTATTTCTTGAACAAGATTAAGGGATTGGTTATCTTCATCGCTTACTATAACTATTTGGAAAAACAATGTTTTTTTGTTTTACCATCCAACTATAAATTAAACACAGAAATTGAAAGAAATAACCTGCAGCAGTCAGGCTTTCAGATACAGACACGATTAATTCAGGAAAGGGATGGTCCGCCATTTTCCAATGTAATGCTTTGGCTCCGCCCAAATGGGGTGAACTCCAAGTGCAAAGGGACGAGCAATGGTTTTAAATAGGTCTCCGCCGCCGTCTGAATATCAGTTAGTCGTTGAACCTCGTTCGCCAAAACTAGATAGATTTGTAGTTATATTAAATCTAACTCAAAATTGTTCACTTTGAAATTATTTTTTTTTAATGTTTTCTCATTTTTCGATTAATACGACTAACCAATTAACCGTAAAACTGTTATTATTATGAACCATTCGATGACGCCGTCACCGGATATGCACAACATTTACGGTTTTCACCATCATCACCATCAACAGCAACAACACCAACAACAATCACCCGATTTACTCAGAAGTGGTGGTCACGTTGTGACTACTAAAGCCGATTCTTCGTCTTCGTCACCGTCACTCTGTTATAAGTAAATATATAAGCAAATATGAATACGGATTTCATTAAAAATAAATGGGAATCGTATTTTTTATTAAAACTGTGTAATTGCTAAGCTGATTGTTAAAATTGTATTTTTTACCAAAACTTTGAACATAAAAGTTAAAACTCATTGTATTAAATGTTTATAATGCTTATAGTAAAGTATTAATAAATTAAAGGCCATTCTAATATATTATAATGTATAAAATAATTAAATGTAATGCATTTTATGTAACAAATAAAATTATGTTAGTTCATATAAGTACCTAGTTAAAATAGTAGTTAATAAATTCACTTCGCTTAGAATTCAAAATAAATAAATAAAACATATTTTAGGTATATGTATATACAAGTAGGTTATTACTGTAATTTAAGCAAATATAATTATTGTATGTATAAATGTTTTCCATCACAATTCTACTAATGTTACAATACAGGAAAATACTTTTATATTGTACTTAAACGCAGTGATTCTCAATCAGTGGTACGTGAATAAAATTTCAGTATGAGAAAAAACAAATTAGAATTAATATTAACATTAAATATTACTATTTTATTCTTCTAGAATGTAATAGGACCAATTGAACATAATAATTGTTCGTGCGGGAACTAGAAGCTCATGAGATCACAATTTGAAATACAAATTCTACAAATAAATAATTCAATTAACGATACTATATAATATATTTTTCTATACAATTATAAAACAATAATATTTGTCTAGTATTATATTTGTATTTAGTTTAAAAGTATATTTTTAAAAATATAAAATAATTTTCTCATGGTAGTATATTCATATCATTGTAAATACATTTTGTGTGATATCTTAAGGCAGGGGTCGGCAATTAAATTCTATGAAGATCCAGAAAATCAAAAAAAAAAAAATTACGAGGGCCAGTAAAAACTAAAAACTCAGATATTATTAGCTAATAATTGTTGTGATCGCAACTATTATTGTAAAAAGCAATAAACGATAAACACCATCGTAATTTCTAAATACATCATAAAATAGATAAAATATATATTATGTGTGGAAAACCAGAATTATTAAAAAATATATTTTTTGTGGTCCAATTATTTTTCCTTCGCGGGACGGATTTGGCCCGCGGGCCGCCTATTTCCGACCACTGTCTTAAGGCCTTTGAACAATATTTTTTATTATTTTATTTTATAGTTTTTTTTTTTTAATAGATCTATTACTGTTTAGTACACACTTCTCTTAAATCTTGTAGAAACACTATAATTAACTATGAATTGTTTTAGTGTTTCAGTATTTGATACTAGTTATTGATGCATAACACAATTTTTTTAAGTTGTATTATGTACCATAATCGAACTAAGTATAAACACGCTTACCCACGATAATTACTTGAATGATTTAAGAATGAATTAGGAATTATTGACATTTTATAATACTTTTGATTCCGAACAACACTTATTTTACCATTTAGGCTATCAAGTACCAACGGGATAGTATACGTTAACAGAATATTCAGTATTTGACTATGATTATTGTTTACAATTTCAGTAAGACTTCGACTTTCACCCAAGATTTCATGTTAACCAACAACTCATGTCAAACACAACAACAACAGGATGATGACAGTTGTAGTGACGGCGAAGATTCAAGTCAACCCAGCTGCACTTACCGATCTGTCAACCACAGTTTTGTAGAGACTTCGATAAGACAAGGTAACAATCATAATATAATTAACGCTAGTTTTAATAAAGGTATTAAATAAATAAGATATAATCGTTACATTTTACTTAAAAAGTATTGGAATAAAAATGGTCGATCCTATTAAAATCAATGTAAATTTGAAACAATAATTTCAAAAATCAAGCAAATCTCTTGACGTACCTATCATAAATTAATATATGTATAATTTTATAATCATTTAAAAACTATTGATTTAACAAGTAACCATTTATTCTTTATTTATACCTTACTCTAAGTACTTTAAAACCTTAATATTACTTCCCCGCTTACCACATCAAAATGTAATTTTTTGATAAATAATGTATACATATTTATAATAATAAATAAAAATGTTGAATATTTATATATACTTATTAAACTGGCCTCAACTGCAGTACTTATTCGATACAATACTATGTTTGTTAACGATGGACGAATTATTTATTACAGGTTTTAATTAATATACGAGTAATGAATATATAACCATTGTTCAAGCAATGTCATTTGTTGCCCTCCTGTTCAGTAACTATATTATATATATGTGTGACGTGTGTATATCGTGCCCCATCATCACTGACGTTTAGTATAATATTATACTTAAAATTAGGCATGCTCGTATACCTATGTATATAATTATCTTTTGTTCTACTATATCTATTGTGGTGCTCATATTCTATTCTTAGTTAAAAAAAAATTGATATATCATATATCTTATTGTTGAAAACGCTATCTATATAATATCATGCTATAAGTTCCATTTTCGGCACTTTGATCATCCATTTGGCTTAAGAGTATTATTTTACAACCCGTATATGATTTCTTGACTCCCTCTCATTATAAAATAGAAAAATTATGTAGAATAAAAATTGGTGAATTTAACGCTGCAGATGTTGAGTGTCTAATTATCATTTAACTATTTTTTGAGCTTGGTCTTAAATTTGCTATACATGTGCAATATGCTTGCAGTGATTGTGTGTATATTGTAAATCGTTAGGTCCCATGATAATTTTGAACATCTCTCTAGTCATTACTTGTGATCTCGGTAGTCTTTTTATATTATAATGGTACTTTTATAATATTTTTACAGTTATATCATTTATATATTATAAACCTAGTACCTACAGTATAAAAATGAACTGAAATCGAAAAAAATTATCAATTTATATATATAATACACAATATACGATAGAAGTCGCTTATTAAGAACATTACTTTTTTACCAAGATGAAGTGAGTCAATTAATTGATTATTTCTAATAAGTGATTGGTTTTATTTATTATGAATAAAAAAATGTACAAGTAAAAGAAGAATATCTATTATAAAAATAAAATTAATTATTTTATATGTATGTCGATGTCTGTTTCTTTTGGATCAAGTAAGTTTATGACAATACTTTTATAGATATAATTGTTCTTAAATTCGAAACACTAACCACCTTTACTATACACGCTGAAGTTGAACTAAAAGGATAATAATTAAGAGTATGATAGGCACCTACTGTATTTATGATAAGGAACAGTAAGAATAAAAAAAATTAATTAGACAAGTGGAATTCAGTATCGGTACATAACAACAGTTAAATTAAAATTATTTAGTACCGCAGAAGTACAGTAATACTTTTCCTTTAATTGATTTAAATAACCAGTGTGTTGTTTCAAAAATTCGATTGATTTCCAATGTTTAAATTTACGACCGGTCCTACAGGGTCGGCCTAAAGTTTTTTGCTGCTTTAGGAAATTTTAATTTACGCCACCCCATTCAAAAGTTAATTTTTTGGAGAGGAGAGAGTTATATAAATTATAAGCATTCGTTTATAACCCGCCGCATTTATCGTTATTGCCATTTTACTTGCATAGAAACAGCATTATACGATTACGGTGCGTCCGCAGTAAACGAAATATTATTAATATCATACTATTAAATATATTTTTATTTTTATTTTTTATTTTTTATTTTTTGTATTTGTTGAACAATGAACATACATTTCTGTATATTAGATAATATACAGAAATAATATAATAATATTAATATACGATTTGGTTCATTCAAAATTTGTCCCCCTTAAACTAGTGTCGCCCTTGTGGCTGCCTATTTTACTGCCGTATTTGGCCGGCTCTGCCAGACTGTCACTAAACATTTTCTTTCAATCACACGATTGTATTAATTATCTGTGTTTATAATAAGCGGTTTTTATTGTACATACAATGAAAAACGATTAATTGATTTGTTTAAGTTAACTAAATAGTTAGTGTTTCTTCGGTTTTTTCATTTTTGTATAGTCTTAAGTTAAAAACATTCATAAATCATAGCTATATATATTAAGTCTGATGTCTGTAAAGTCAGCATCCCGACATTGTCCGATTCGAAAATTGTGACAATATTTTGCAAATTAATTGCAAATAATAATTAAAAAATCGATTTTTATAATTTGCAAATTAGAATCAACTCTGTGTTATAATTAGTTTAAATATTAGATTAAATTGACCTATCATTGTAAACTTAAAGTTAAGAAAATTATTTGTATTAATACGTTGGCTTTTTTACGATATTTCAATTTTAATGTAAGTTAAAAGTTTATGATTTTGTGAGTTTATAGTAGATTATAATATTGTATTAAAATATTTCAATTTAAAAATGCTCATAACTTGATTTAAAATTAAAATATCGTAAAAAAGCTAACGTAGGTACTAACACGAACAATGTCCGTAACTTTGAGTTTAAATGTATTATATTTTATCTATGTCAGTTTATTCTAGTAATAAAACTATCAAATTAACACAGTTAACGATTATCGGACAATTTTTTTCATAAAAATATTTGGCTTAAACACTACACCAAAAATAGATTTATTAAATAGAATATACATACGTCATGTATCGACTGCAGGCAGCCGGTAGATACCCTTTATACCTATCAAAGCAATATATTTTCGGTTATAATGATATTGAATCACGATAAAATGGTATTTTCAATCAAAGTACCGAGTATTGGTAATTAAAAAATATAGTTAATTACCGGTATAGGTACCAATAATACCAACAGCCCTAGCTGACATCTTCTGAATAAACTATAGAAAAAAAATGTATACCATTTGTTTTATTTATAAAATATATTTACAATCTGTATAGGTACTTACTATACTACAGTATACACTGAATACAATAATAAGTACATAGAGTATTAGACGCGAGTACGCGACAACGTGAGGGAAGAGAGCGTCCATCAACATTACTATTCCATCGTAATGTATCTACACAAATATATTGTGTTGTCTACTAATAGATAAAATAGATATTTATTATTATTGCTATAACATCTAAAAATAAATATGGTTTTCTGAAAATTTCATCTTATTTAGTAAAAATTAATTAAAACAATAGTCAATAACTTAATAATAATAGTAATATACAATAATTATAATAATATAATATATAAACCTAATTATATAATTAGGTACAATACGTTATAATCCACAATAATTGTGGAAATTATTTTTGTTCACTTCAATTCATATATTTTTAAGACAACATTTAAAATTTGATTGATTATAACTCATAAGTTTTAATAATAATTGTTTCCGATCAGGTGCTGACTTGTCGTCGGCCGGTTCAATAGGTCGACACAATATGGTGGCGGTGGCGGCGGCAGCGATGGCCGACGGATATTACGTTGGAGGTACCGGTAACCACGGTAGCGGTAGTACGGGCAACCATCATCACCACCATCACCATGGTCACCATCATCACCATCACCATAACAGCAACGGGAATGGCCATAACCATCATCACCATCATCATCACAACGCCTCTGCGGGAATGGCGGCAGCGACGATTGTGGATGCACAAAGTGCGGGCGGTGTCGGCGGTGGAGGCAGTGGTGGTGGCGGGTACAGGGTGCAGAGACAAGCGGCTAACATACGGGAACGTAGACGAATGTTGAGGTCAGACCTGGCGCCGACTCGGGCAGCGGATAGGCCCACGCCGGTCAAAATGTAAGACCCTGACGCGGCGCACGCGCGCGTAAATGCCAATGCTCGGGAGGGTCGAATTCGCATGACTATCATATTTTCGGCGAATTAGTCAAGGAACAGGAGAACTCCTTAGCCGACATGCAGTAAAACGACTTTTCAATAATTTTTAGAATGCGCACACAGGTCACGCTTAATATGATTGATTAGATAAACAGCCGTTATAAATTTTTTTGTTTAATTGTTAATTGGTGGTAGAATTACCACTTATCGCCATGATATTTACATAAACAATCATTAATTTATTTTTTTTTCGTACCATATTTCGTCGTTTTTCAGTGGTACGCGTAAACTTACTATAGTACTGCAGTTTAATAATCTCTGGTATAATCAATATAAGTAGATCAGTGTGTAGGCCAAAGAAATTACTGTTGAGTATGAGTTATTGTTGACAAATAATAAATCATTTTTTTATTTATTAGTTGTTTAGTTAACTTTAATTTTCACTTTTTTTTTTTTTTTTTTGTTTACTGTTTTGTTTCTCGAATTTCTTGTACTCAACTTCTTTTAAATTCTTAAAAATCTCATATTTAAAAAAAAAACTGATACCTTTTTATTTCTTATACTAGCAATTTACAATATTAGGTACTTAAAAAATGTAAAAATATAAATAGCCTTTTAAAATCAACCAACTATCTCGTTAGGTTAACTAGACATTTATATAAAATGTAAATCTTGAATATCTACCTATTAAAAATATTTATTGTATAAATATATATACTACATAATACATAATATAATTTTATTCATAAAATTAAATTATATTAATTTTGTTATTTTATTGCACACAGTAATTTTATTATACTTTTAATTACATTGTATGTCAATGACATAAACTATAAGAATACAATTTTTAAAAGAATCGGCCCTCTTAGCACCAATTTTAGTAAGCCAGTCCATCAAATTTAAAAATATTCACACGAGAGCAATAGCACAATATCTATAAAATCATTAAAATCACATTTTCTACCAACGTAGCGTAGTTTACATTAAACTTACTTATTAGGCCTAATTATTAATTATTAATAACTCAGGCGCGTTTTACATAAAAAATAATATTATATTGTTTTATTATTTACACACATAATATTATGTTTGTTGATACTTTACGCCATTCGTATATTAAACTTGTTTTATTTTAACCATAAAAGTAAATAATGTATCGTTTATAGCTTAGTTTTTGGATCGTAATTGTCTCCTTATATATGTGATGTTGTTCATTCGTAATCCGTCACACGATCTAGCGCGAAATCCCGATTAAAGACGATTTTTTTTCGACACGTTATACCTACACTTGTAATAATATGTATAGGCGGATGTTGAGTTCCCGTCGCTACAACCATATAAATAGTAAATACCGACAAACAAATGTTTGCGGTCACACGTAACGCAATATTATATTATAATGAATCGTCTGGTGTTTAGCAGCATCAACTCGGCGTTCGACGAGCTCCGCGGTCATGTACCCACGTTTCCGTACGAGAAACGGCTCAGCAAGATCGACACTCTCCGTCTGGCGATCGCGTACATTGCGCTGTTGCGCGAAGTGCTGTCGGCCGACTGCGACCCGCTGACTTATGTCCAGCGATGTCTGAGCGGCGAGAGGACGCCCGAACGCGCCGAATGGAACACCAGTGGTCAGCATACTTGTATAATACGTACATTACATTACATTTACTCCAGTTTTTAAAACACTCGCAAAGTCACGACCAATTTAAATATTTAAAATGTCGAAAAATCTCGCGCACGGGGCGAACGCCGACAATGTTGTAACTTTAAATTTGACAATTTTTTGACACGTTCACTCACTCTAATATAAAAAATAATGAAAACTATTAGAATACCAAACTATACTAAACGTACGTAATATATTTTGCTATGTTGCGTGCTTGTAAGACAACAAATAAGGTGCATCATCCCATACTCTTAAATCTACTATAATGATGCATTGATGCATAATTATTAAGAATTGTAATCTACGAGAGTAATTTTATGGACATACTTTGATCAATTTATAATCCAATTTTACGTACTTGTCTTTAACGTTCATAACTTTATACCCGTTGCAGAAAAGAATAACCCTTTTAGATTTTATTAATGACATCAAAAACAATGTTCAATATTATACCCTAATAAGTTATTTATTTAGTTTTAGTTTGTACGCTTTGTCGTATAAGTATCTACTTGAGTTAGTAAATGCATGGTTGATTAATTGTGTTTGTTTTATTCCCGCAGACCTAACAGCTAGACTTTCATGGATCAACTGGGAAAATTTGGGCGTGAATCCCAACAGGCAAGGCGTTTTGACGTCTTACTCGATTCCTGACAACGTAAACAACTAAAATAAACTTGTATGCTGGCGAAAACTTCGATCGTCGATTAAAATTATCACTGTTGTATATTACATCATAATATGTATATTATTTTCGTTTAAATGATTTTATTCACTGTTAATATTTTATTATATTGATTAATACAATTTTAGTTTCAATAGGGAAATGTGCAATAGGTACTTTCTTAAAAGTCAAAAAAGGAGAATGCATATTGCTGACGTTTTGATCCTTATTACTTACTTGTTAGCGTATGAATATTGATATTAAAGGAGATTCATTATCGACTGTTAATAAGGAGTACAAATTCATTGACGCAAATAGACATTTGAACAGGGGGGTGCTTAAGCTCCAAGTTTTTTTGTGACTCAGTAGGATTTAACACCATTATTTACCAATATGTAATAAAGTCAACACATACACAACCACTAAAACAAAACAAAAACCATAACTTAGAGTCCGCATAGCATAATCCAAATATTGTTTTTAAAAACAGAAACAAAAATCATACTTGGTATGGACCTAGCATAAAGTCACTTAAAGTAATTTTTTTGATTTGATTTTTAATTGATCTTCTAAATAATATATATATATATATTATTATTTATAATCCTAATACATAATATATTTTATATAAATTAATTATTATTATATTAAATCCATACGACGGTCTTTCTTCGAATATTCATCTAGTATAATATCAAGATCAAGATTATTAACAATATCTCTCTCATGTGCAATGCAGAAAGATAACTGAAACGATCTTGTGTCAAAGATGTTTTAGTCCAGTTTTTGATTCGATGCATAGCTGAGAAAGATCATTCACGTGATGCAAAAGCAGAACTGATAGGTAGTATCAGGGCCATTTTTAGTAAGGAATAAATATTGGGATACATTTCTTTTGAAATAATTTTTTTTTAATCTAAACCAAAATTTGGTTCTAACTGTATGGCGTAGTTTCGTGATACAGTAATTTCACAACGCAATGCCTCTTTATCAATAGAAAACAATGCCTAATAAAATAAATTAATGATTACCTACATTTATCGATGTATTAAGCAAATATTACATTCCATTTTTATGTATTTATTAAAATTTACTTACTTGATAATGATCAATAAACATCATGCTTTTATTCATATTTAATTTAATAATATTGCCTATTGAATTTGTAAACTATAAAGTATAAACTCTCTTTTGAAAACCTTAACTCAAAGTGACTTATAATTGCATTCAATATAGTATAAAATGCATGAGATCACCAATATTGTTTATTGAAATTTGTTTTATTTAGGTCAACACCTTAATTATAGATGTCCTTTCCTTAATCTACTTACATGACAATATTATATTTAATAACTTTTTTTGCTAACCAGGTGTATTAAGTGAAATATTCATTAATATTATGTTTTACTGAAAATTGTATCTCATTATTTCATAAGACATCAAATGAATTTTCATTCCTCATATTTTTAATTGTTTTTATCACAGCACTTATTTCAATAACAACATTTCCAATTGAACTTTCTTTTTTTGTAATTTTCTTCTCTAAAAATTCTTAAGACTTCTTTAACTTTTTATTTCAAATGTTTAAACAATTTTTAGGGGTGCTAAAGACCCAAAGCACCCCTATAGTTGTGCCAATGAGTTCAATATAAGCAATTTAAGTGCATGCATTTAAGAACTTCCTGCAAATGCACGCACATATTACCAACCTCTAGTCAAAAGGAATATTTTTCATCTACCAAATTTTTGTCAACTATATTAATAAATATTCTACTTTCGAGTTAAGAAATCTGAAAAAAATATTTGCTATGAAACTTAATTCGATTCTATTAAGATGATTTATTTATACAAATCTGTGTAATTAATGTTTAAAAAACTTTCAATTTTTACATTTTTAAGTCAAATTTAAAGCAGTAATAATTAATAGTTAAAATGTGCAGAAATGCGACGATAGAACTAAAATAAACTTCATAAATAATAACGAATTCAAATATGTTTTTAAATTTCTGATCACAACATTAACCATTAATTTTACAATATATCTAATTTATAATTTATATATTTAAAACATTTCTGTTACCTAATGAGTAATGACTTAATAGTTCCTGACAGTGGCGAATTGGCCAAGGAGCAAAGGAGTACCTAATTACTTCTCAGGCCTTTGATAGCGTCAATTAATAAAAATTATACACATATAAGTATAAAATGTAATATTTTTCAGTTATAAACAGTTTTTATGTATATTGTTATTTTATTAATTTATTAAAAATATCTGGTGTAATTTTTTCTTGCATATTTGCATACATATTTTGACTTTTTTAGTTCTAACAACTTCCGAGCCCTACTAATGACTAAAATTTAGGATACGTTTTCAATAAACTTTATACTCCTTAATATTAATTGCTTTTGAGGCAGGAAAATTAAGCGTTATAGATCAAAATAATAATATTTAAAATAAAAGTACATATTTTTGTAATTTATATCATAAACCGTGAAAACTTTTTTGTATGTTATTATATGTAATTAATTGTACTAAAAACTCTTTATGATAGTAAATTATAATGACTAGATTAATCCATCGCAAAAAGTTTAGTTTTGCTATTTGTACGTTATTTCATAAAATATGACCAAAATTACACTCTTTAAAAATATAATAAAAATATCATAACTTTAAAATTTATATGGTTCAACTAAAATTAAATATCATTGGCTCCGAATCTCAATCTAGCCCCAGTCATCAGTACGTTGTTACTCAATTTATTTTTATTAGTTTTTTTATTTCACCCGAACGTTTTCATTTGAGTTCATCTTCGTATTATCTACAACGCTGTGTATACACAATATACACATCACAATATTATTATATATCGTACATTCTATTTCACAGAAGTTGATTACCAGATTTCGTGGTGCAAAAAAGGCCCAGATTCTCCCGATAAAAATATTTGAGTTATACAATCACTGCCTCAATGAGAAATAACCGAAACTGGTGTATTTCGTGCAACTCTTAAGTATAAGACGTCAAAAAACATTAAGCGATCAGCCAAACACCGACTAATACCAAAAGCGGACGATAAAAAGTGCTTTTCTGTGAAGCCATTATCACTTATTTACAAGCCATCGCTTCGAATTCTTCAACTCTCTAAGTCCCGGACACGCGTGGTGAAGACTTGATCATCGCTTCAATTGTTATTGTTATTAGTAAATAGTAGTACGAAATAGCCTGTTTTGGACCCACCCGCTTCAACCCCCGCCAAATCAGTGGCTCCCTCTATCTACTCTCCCGGCCAATACTATGACTCCCGGTCCACTCCCCCCGTCAGTGGCTCCTCTATCTACCTCCCTCCTATAGTCATACGAAATATACATACATAGTATAGCATACATCAACACGTCATCAGGGCAAACAACCTATATATATAGTATATACTATACATCAGTGGCGGATTTAAGGGGAGGTCAGAGGGGCCTGCTCTCCTTTGGCCATAAGATGTGTAAGAATATAACTGTGACGTAAAACTTATAATCACAATTCACGAAAAATTCAGATTAAAAAAAGATCAAAATAATTTTAGTCGGCAATTTTGAAGACTGCGTCCCTCCACGATGTTTTTTAAGATCGTGCCTGTATGTATTACTTGAATCATAGCATTAACCAGTTGTATAAATAAAGGTTACGGGTAACTGTATACATTTATACAGAAATCATTTTATTGCAATAATCAGATAGTAAATGTTAAAACATTCGTTTTAAAATAATATAAATATTAGTTGATGTAAATTAGAATTATTGCAAAAACACCAAAGGTCTAGACACAAGTTATTTCATTACCTATTATATCTAAGAAATTGCAGTTGTTTTTTTTTACAAGGAAATAAATAAAGAAAATTATAATATATAGCATTATTAATTATTTACTATATTTCAATTGCGACGCATTTTAATTTAGTATTAATTTAGAACTTTTAATTGGTGAATTGTTTTCATGAAAAACATAACTAAACACACAAAAAAGGTATATAAAGAATGATATTTTCCACATAAGTAGATTTGAGACGGATCAGTTTTATAGACTTAGTAAAATTTATTTGAAAATTTTAAATTATAAATTTCATTAGACAGCTTTTTTATTAATTTTAAGAACCATATTATACCTATGTAATTTAGAAATACGTTATTTCTTAATAATCATTAGACCAACTTTACGAATATGCTGATATAATCTTTAGACTGTGAACAAAACACGATAATTTTCCACTTGCAAATTTTTTTCACCATAACATTGTAAATTTAAAAACATAACATCAGCGTCTGACCGTTTGCTATTTATTATTATTTTATAAAAAAATCAATGAAATATGTAATCAAAATATAGAACATCCATTAGTCATTCTTTCGATAACAAAAAATGTAATTTTCATACAAATCCGCGTTAAGATCGCCTAAAAATTAGATATCGTTAACTTTAGATTACAATATTTTTTGCAAATTTATTTCTACGTCTTAAATATATTTCACCACGTTAATAATTGGTGCGTTAAATGGATTTTGTTGATCATTTTGAATCAATGTTATTTATTAAAAATATTATAATGCATAATATGTAACATATATCCATTATATTGTATATAGTAGTATTTAAAAACAGTGTTGATTTTTTTAAATTAAATTGTTTTAGTTTATGTTATACCCTTTTATTAAACCAATAAAGTTATTAAATTATTATTAAGTTTGCAGGTGATTAATAATAATAGCACTAGACTATTGTTGTTTATAAATTTGTAGCTGAACATGTATAAGCAACCGTGTATAGGACTGAATAGTAGTCACTTAAGCTTAAATTGGTCTATGTATTTTTTTAATAATTTTGAACCATCGACATTCATAGAAAATATTTTTAAAAATTGTCAAAAATGTTTCGTGTTTTAAATTTTTCAAAATATTTAGAAATTTCACCATGTAGGTATGGAAAATTACAGTATAATTATTTTGTGAAAATTTCAAGTACCTTAAGTATTTTTATTCTTAAATTATAACAAAATAAAGAAAGTAATTTAGTCAAAAACTGATTTAGCGTAAAAATCCCAGTTTATTTTAAAAAATGTATTGTTTGTTTTCACAGATTATAAAAAAAAGTATTGAAAAAGACATTATACAAACTTAATTAAATTTTTTACCCAAAACCACTCTCAAAGTTGAAAATTGAAGAATTTTATCAACTACTTATCGTGTACAAACACATACACAATACAACATACATAATTCTTAGGTCAATATATTTATCACTCCACTCAGAATCTAAAACAAAGTTATTGGTATTGTTTTAAAACGTTGGCTTAAAAAATATAAGTATACACTATAACTGCATCCCACTTAAATAAAAATTAGTACATATTATTTAATTATTATGAGCAAATAATCATCTATGGATAAAAATTAACCCTTCCATAGATATTTATATCACTAAGATTAATAATGGATATACATGTGTATAGATTATAAATAATAAATTAATTAAAGAATTGTCACATCTAATACTTAAAACTTGAAGTACCAACTATGAATAATGTATTAATACATATTAAATTCAATGACTTCAAACTCAAATTACCATTTATTTTTAGACCACTAATTTAAACAATATTAAACAAAGAGAATTCTTCCTGATATACAATTTAAAAAATAAAAGTTAAATAATAAACATAAATTTATAATATTCTTATATTGCACAAAAATTAAAATTATAATACTACATTCTATACATAATAACAAGTGTTTTTAAATATAAATTTGGCATCACATGGCTTTAATTTGATTTTACTTTTTTTTTTTTTTAATTACATTTTTTTTTGAACAATAAAAAATATCAAAATTGAAGTTTTTGAATTAAAATTCACAAATATTTACAAACTAATTAGTTAATAAAATACAAGTCTTTTAATGAAAATTCTTTCTAAGTTAAGAAAAAGTAAAAAATTAACCATACATAAAATGTTATTATTCATTATCACACTGGTTAGTAGTATTTAAATATTAAAATGAAATAAGCACTGTTTAAGTTGTAGTATCATCCAGTTTCAAAAACATATTGAAATCTGAAAAAAAAAATATTGTCATTTTTTGTATATATATCAATTTATATATTCCTACTACTTATAACTAAAATATGAGTATAAAACTGAAAATCATTTTTATTTTGAAATTTGTGTCTATTTTATTATATACTATTAATATTAAATAAGGTTTACAATATTTCTCAAACACGTGTAAAATGATAAATTATGATATTATTATTTCCTAATTATCATTACACATTTGTTTTCTTATACCTAAATCTAAATAAATCAATATTATAATTTATGTTAAATATGTTTATTTTATTTTACATTATCTGAGTAGATATTATACTATAAAGTGTCTTATATTATGATATTGTAAATTATTAAATTTAATTGTGTCATTATTGTTATTAAATATTATTTTTGCAGGAACAATTATTTATTAACTAGTGATTCGAGTCTATTAGAACAGACATTTTTTAAAAATAAAATATTTTATAGTTCATATTGAAAATTGTATTGTTTAAAGTAGCCTATAAAAATAAATAATTTATTAAAGAAATATAATTTTATTAACCTACTTAATAAACTTTAATTATGAACATAAATAATTATTAAGATAGTGTAAAAGTAAATGGGCCATTTGGAATGATGAAATGATCAATAAAAACTAATAAACTCAAATATATTTTAAATGTTTACAGAATATCAATTTAATAAGATTTACAATTAACTTTGTATTTAATTAATAGCTTTAGAATCATTTTTGTTATACGATAACCTAACTACAAATACTTTTTTTAATTTTATAATCACTAAGTTTTGATCAATATAAAATTGTTTATAGATTAACTTAGGTGTTTAATTTTTATTATAAATATAAGAACTTTATTTATATTTTGGGCACAGAAGTTTTGTTTTAAGTGTATGGCATTCTACATAGTATATGTAATAAAACAATCTAAAAATGTTGTATATTTTATAACTAGAAAATAAATGAAAAAATGATGCATATAAATTTATAAAAAACTAAATACACATCTGAACGTCTTGTAAAAAAAAAAAACAAAACAAAAAAAAGAACAACTTTTATGATTCAGAACTGATAAAATACGGGAAAATTGTTACATGAAAAATATAATGTAATATTTTTTTATCTAAATAAAAGTATAATTGTTAAAAAAAAAAATAAACATAAATTTCTGGAAAGCAGAACATGTAGCAAAAACAAGTGTGTGAATATTTATTACTAGTGGTATTAAGCTAATTTTAATATTAATGTTAGACCTACACTATTTCTTATAAAAATTATTAACAGCAATATTTCTAAAAATGTATACCTAATACTATGTTAAAAATGATCCTACAATTTAAATAAGCTTTAGCTGTAATACATCTTTAACAATTTAAGTAATGAACTAAGTAATAAATCTAATTAATTTAAATTGGTAATAATTACTATACTTATACATAAAAAATTTATGTGATTTAAATTATGAATTATTCATACCAAATTCATAAGAGTCGGGTATATTAAAACCATTTGATGGCACATTACTTTGAAGTTTGCTTGTTTCTTCTCGGATAAATACTTTATCATTATCTGTTAGTTCACAACCAAGATGTCTCAATGCAGTTAATACTTCAAGCTGTTACATTTAAAATAAATCATAAACAAAACAATTACATTAACAGCACACTACACCTGCAAGTGGTGTCTCCGTCTTTCAAATGCATAACACAGTATATTGTTTGATCTGAACAATCCATTGACTCTGACATGTTTAATATAACAATGAATTGATTTATTATTAAGTTTAAAAGTAAGACTTATGTCATAAATCACTTTAAAATGAAAATATAAAAAAATTCTATGAGGTTTGCTAGGTAATATTTTTACTTTTAAACTTGATAATAAGTAAATTCACTGTTATATTGAACATGACAAAGTTAATGGATAATTCAGAACGAATAATTTGCTATGCTATGCATTTTTTTAGACGAAGGCAATGCATTTGGGTGTAGTATTTTTTAAGTCATAAATTTAATTTGAATAAATCAAAAACATATTAAGTATATATCTATTTTTAGATAAATAATTCTAACCTTTTGTCGATTTCCAACCTCCAAGCTTAATTTACCAAGCTTTATATTCCTTTCAATTTGATTGCGTTTGTCTTTGAGTGCATTTGGTTCATTCTTGGCAAACATCTTAATGATAGAAGGTGTTTGAAATGCTTCTGTTATGGCTGCACTAGTTGCCTTTAAATAAAATATATTTATTATATAGTTACTTTGAATGATTAATATTTATTATTTAACAATTTAATAAAATGTATTTTAAAATATTGAAATAAGTTCTATTGTAGTTTAATTTAATACTAACTAAACGCATAATGCTGAAATTGTCATGTAGAGTCATGTTACCAGCAGTAATTTTATTTAATCTATCATTAAATTCTTTTAGCTGTTCGACAATATCTTCTTTTGACTCGTTATATTCATCGTCAGTCATGTCACTTCTATAACATAATATTAATTTTTAGACAAAGAAACTAACTAATATTCTTAACAATATTGTTAAATCAGTTATTCATCAGGAATGAAAGCATCCTTAATACTTACAATTTACTAAAACAATGTCAATGGCTTAAAACCATTAAAAGCATTTAAAAATAATATGATAATTTTTAAGACATATTATAACATTTAAGTGGGGGATGGAGTAGCCGAGTGAATTAAGATGTGGATTGTGACACACACTGTCGCTGATTCAAATCCCGGCTACGGGTGGCATAGCTTTCTGGGCAGGCAACTGTCTAGGTAGCAAGGTCACTATCCCCCAATCGGGCATGGCAAAAACCTACGGTTGCCCAACTAAGAATTTTACCAAATAGGCGTCCAACTAGGCTTTCAGGCCTACTCCCCGAACATAAGCGCCATACGCAAAAAAAAAAAAATAACATTTAAGTAAACGGAAATAAGTAGATACTGTAGAACAGAAACTGTAAAGACACATAAAAGCTTTACCTGCATTCATCTATATCGCTAAGTTCTTGGACTAAGCGATCCAATTGAGCTTCTAGATTCTCTCTTAACATTTTATTTTCGTCAGACATTTTGATCAAAGTTTAGAACAATTCTAACAGTAATCGAAAAGGAACCTGTTTTAAAATTGGTAGACAAGTTATTTTTTTATATCCTAGATACTTTCCTACCAGTTGTAAAAAAAATGTAATTTTTACTATTTTTAGACTAGTTACTAGTTAGTAGTTATGACTTTTGAATAATAAATTGTTGAGAAATTTGAGACTTGTCAGTTGTCACTGTTATCAGTTATCAACATTTTATCACTTGCAAAATGATATTATCAAATCAGCCTTATTCGACCAGGGTTATCAATATATTTTAAAAGAACCGCAAAGATAAAGACGTGATCGCCGGTCAAGACAAGTTTTGTAGTTGATAATAGCTACTAGCTAGGTAGTAGGTACCATCTCAAATCTGTAAGATCTGTTACAGTTTGGGTCGTTTGGGAACCTAGTCGGTTGGGGATACAAAATATAATAAATTAATAATTTAATAATATACAACCGTCTTTAAATACAGGTATGTATACAATTACAGAATAAATAAAATAATTGATGAGATTATGAGCATTAAGTTCATACCTTAGAATCTAAAGGCATAACAAATAACAATATTATAGAAACGTAATGTATGTATATCTACCAACTTACTGTATAATGAATATATAGAAAAAAGCTACATGAAACAAAACCAACTTATTTATCATTAAAAAAATGATATTATTTAAAAATATTATTTTGCTTTATCAGCGTACGGTCGGCCAAAACTCTAAAGTATTCGAGTCATCTATCATAATGTTTTATCAAAGTGAAATAAGTATTACAGGTGGTGAACTATATATTATGTTGAATGATTAAAAAAAGTGTTAAATAATATGATAGAATAATTATTAATTATAATACGATACTATAATAGGCATTAGGCACCATGGTTTTAACCTAATATTTCACTTAGATGAGCAAGACACAAAATAGTATAAAACACTAATAAAAATTTTTAATTGTTTTTTATGTTGTCTATAAGTTTGTAAATATGTTTTGCTATAATGAGTATAAACTACTTAGTTATGTTTTATTAGAAAAAAAAAATCACCTAAAATAGCTCTTGTATTATATAGAGCAGGGGTATAAGAATAAGAGATTTGCGGGTCACTCAATAGATTAATAATTATGAAAGAACTAAAATAAAAAATAGTTCATATTGATGTATGTTTATGATTATCGTAAAAAAGATAATTAAATATCAACTGAAATAAAATGAAAAAAATGTGAAACAATAAATTATATTAATTAATAATTAAAAATAAATACATATTTAAATATTATATCAAAAACACTGTTTTTTTTTTTTGTGTAAATTTTTTCTATAAATTGAAATTTAATAAAATATTATACTTCTTCAAAATGAATACATAAATTCATATAAAAAATAATTTTTTTTTTGTAATTATGTTTGTATCTCACATTCTTACGATAAGAATGATAAGATGCAAGCCATACGAGTCTATAACTGGAGCCGCAGTTTGGCCACCCCTGATATAAAGTATATTATGATAGTGATGGGTCGAACTGTTCGAATCTCGAACCGAACCCCTAATGTTCGGTTTAGTTCAAAATTCGAACTCAGTACGAAAAAAATTCGAACCGAACTATCAAGTATCTTTTACTGTTCGAAAATCGAATTTGAAAATATTTGTCGAACCAGACTTTCTGGCCATGATAGTTCAAACTCATTCAAAGACCAAATATTTGTATAATTCTTTAAAAGTTATTTTTACACGTTATAATATATAATAATTCATAATAATATGTTATTTTTCCACTGGGCCGTTACAGATCCACCCCCTCCAGCCAATACGCCAAAACATTGATATGCTTTCTATTGCCAATAGAGGTGCGTTCCTACATTTATAATATTGCTGTTTTTGTTTTTATCATAGTGAGAAAAATCTATTTTGGGTACACCCATGGTAATATTCCTGTACCGATATGTCTCTATTTATAACTTTTTTTCCGCGTATATAATCGTTATCGAAATTGTAATAATTGGATGTTTATCGTTGTAACAACATGTCTAGTTCGTAATTAAATAATTTGTTTACATACTTAAAAAATAAATGATAAATAATAAATACAACTATTTCTATTATAAATTATATTTATTTCTTATTAATAATCAATTATTAAATTATTATTTTTCATTAGATGGGTACCTATATAAAAGTAAAAAAAAAATAAGAAATCATTTAAATTTATTGTAAATACAATTACATAGACTTAAAAGTTAAAATATGTAATAAGTAATATGAAAACTTAAAATATAATAGTTATTATGGTATAATATATACATGATAAAACATGATAAGTTCGGTTCGGTTCGGGTTCGGAAAAATAATTTAGAGTTCGGTTCGATTTAAAAAATCAGGGTTCAACCCATCACTAGTATATGACTTGCAAATTGTGCAATTATTGTGATCATGATTAATATTCATAACTATTTTTTAGTTTTTAGACAAGGGTGTAGCACTGGCCCCATGTCCCCCATCTCGTTCACCGTATTTTATACTGTGTTTTTTTTATTATTGAGTGTATTAGCCCCTTGGGCAACTGGACAACTGACGGCGATCCTACCTTTTTTTTTTTGCTTTCTATACTTTTGATAAAATTTTAGATAGTGAGTGCAAAATACAACATGACTACATGAGTTGCATCATGAGAAAAAAATTAACCTAGTGGCCAGCAATTACATACTTACATCACACTATAAAAACTGTAATCAAAATAATACAAAATCGATTATTTTTACTGTGACTTTTTGGACACATACTAGTTGTGGACAAATTATTCAAATCAATATTATAACAATTGTGGACATGAGTTTCGTTGTCATAATACTAATTGCGTACAATTTTTTTTTTTAATAAAAATCACGTGCCCTATACCACTTTCAGGACTCGGACAAAATTTTTTTTTGAAACAGCCTGTATAAATAATACTCTACTGATTTCACTATTTGAATATTGCAACATTTATTTGCTGATAAATGCCTCCTTTTTGATAGTTTTTTTAGTTCGTTCTAAATTTCGTACAGCAGTTTTAAGTAGGTGCAATTCATTTTCGTATAGCTAACAATCTGTACTTCATTTAAGGCGTCGATCAATTGGTATATAATAGGGTGACTGCGATAAAACATTCCATTAAGGTTAGCATGAATACTTTCACAAGCATTTGCGGTTCGTGAAATAGAAGAAAATTAAGTTTTTCACTAATTTAAATTTGTATACAGAAAATAAACGATCAGAAAGACAAGAGATATTAAGCAAGCATGAATAAGGTTGTGGTTAAACTGATCAAACATATTTTTTGACAGCTGTCTCAATGTCGCGATATCGCCAATATCAAACAGTAATTTCCCAGCGTCTACGATCGTTAAATCAAAAATAATAATTGAAAATTTGTCTGCAATTATAGTAGACACATACTAGTTGCAAAAGAACAATCGTTATTTTTAAAATTTTATTAAATTATCTAAAGTTTTAATTTTGTAGCAAAATTTTTTTTGAAACAGCCTGTATAAGTGATATTTTACTGATTTCATCCCTTGAATATTGCTACATTTGTTTGCTAATAAATGCCTCTTTTTCGACTGTTTTTTTTTCGTTTTAAATTTCATCCAGCAGTACAATTTATTTTAGTATAACTATTAATCTGTACTTCATTTAAAGCTTCGATCAATTGATATATATCAGGATGACTGCGATAAAACATATATAAACAATATATAAATCGTATAGTTACCTTGTTAGATACCTAAATCAATTAAATATTCAACTATTTCATCTTAAGTTATATCACTATTTAAGTGTGGTAATTTATGACTACTTAAACGTTTTGTCTAAACAATATTAATCAATGTGCAAATAACAAAATAATTTTGAACATGGGCCGTGTGACACGGAATATGGTGTGTAAAATAGTACCTTTATTCTATAGTGTATTGTGTATAATATTATTTTGTACATAATATGTACTTACTGTACTCAGTATTGGCGCTTCATGATAAAATATGGCTAATTGGTGAACATGAATGTAATATAATATGCAGTCAATATCAAATCAATACAATATCTGATAAGTGATAGTTATTGCCTTAATATTTAAAATTTTTCTTTTTGAGAAAAGAGTGATTTTTGTGTTACTATTACATAATTAACCTCTCTTCATCGGCGGAGCTAGCCTTCAGGTTCAAGGAATGCAAATATTTTTGGAAATTTTGTAACCCCCCCCATGAAAATATTATAAATATACTGTACAAGTACAATATTATGTATTGTATTTAGTAACTAAACTACTAAACGTTAAAAACTACTGTTAGATTATTTGTATCATATATTGTACACAATGACTTTCTCCATTCAGAATCTAAAAGCGTTATGTATTATCTAAAGAACTTTTTGTTTATTTAAGGGGTGCTACCGTATATCCTGCACACTCCCTTGCAGTGCTTAAATAGGTATGTCTCTCTATACCCACCCATTACAAAAATGAATCTTGGTAATTCAACTGAAAATGATAACAATTTGTACCCGGAAATCATGAACAATTAATTGATAAAACAATACTATGTTAATAATACTCATTGATTGCATTGCCATAATTATCGGCGATACAGATGGCACGTATATACAGAAGAACACTATTATACTGTTAACTTCAAAGACAATCTAATCAATTAAATTGCTTTCTGCAATGTATTACAATGAGTATCAGATAATATTTGATGAATAGATACTGTAAGAGTTAATATCTAAATTACGTTTATATAACAATATTGCACAAATAATATTAGTTGAAATTATTTTGTACAGGGGTTACGATTTTAAAGTTCCCTGGATGTATAGAAATAAACCTAATAAAAATTAAAGAATCTAATATCTTTTTGTTAACGGATTATGATTTTACCTCAAGTCTGACTAATAAATTGATAAGTATTACTTAGATTATAATGATTTCCAAGCTTTGGTAGATACATCGTATATATGATAGAATAATGATATAATATTATGCATAGCAAACGCGTTTTGTAAAATGTGTATAAACTATAAAATAAATGCCAAAGACATTTTTAAAGGATGGATGAGTTTTGGTCGATAAACATTCTCTAACTATATGTGTAAATTGGAGAAGGGATTAGTCCCCGAAAACTTTTGGAGCACTCTCCTTCCTCCTACATTTTTTAAACTGTGTCAGTA